CGACGTGAGGCCCCCGCCCTGCCAGTCCTGCCAGCCCTGCCAGCCCTGCCCCGGGGCGCCGCACCTGTTTGCCCTGCAGGTGAGGGCCTCGCCTGCAGGTCCAGGTCGACTTCACCGGCTCCATGGTACCGGGATCCAGAATCCGTGTTGATCGCTTGCTCGTACGGCCTGGCATGTGCGGCGCAGCTAGCCGACGCTGACTTCCTCACCGCACTCGGCATTCTGCTGGCTTGCCTGTCGCTCGTCGCCTTCTTGCTCATCAGCTAGACCGCAGCCTTAGATGCTGGCCTTAGGCTCACCGGGCTCGTCACTGCGGGCTGCAGCTTTAGTCACGGACACCCGGAGGCAGTGCTTGATCCACCTGGTTTTATGTCGATTCATCGGGTGGATTAAACACTGCTCCTGTCCTACTCGCTTATCTTATTCAAAGTAGTTCCAGCTTTTTAAAAATTATCACCGTTCGGTAATGATTTATTTTAGTTTTTGCCATGAAATATATTTCATGGCTAAAAATTGCAACACAAGAATTATATTTTATGTAGCCTGTAGGTTAGTATTTTGAGTCCCATAGATACTAACTACCTTTACCTACTCTGTCCAAAGTTACCTAAAATCCCGCGTGATACATTCAGTACTTGCCCTGATAGCCTCTACTGTGCGCGTTTATGATGAATTGTGCCTATGATTTGAGTGAATTTCCGTGCATTGCATTAATTAAGCGAGAATAAAATATGCACGTTTGTATGAGAGTGTGATTTTAACTAACTAGAGATTGCTGTAAAACCTGTATTTAGAACTAGGAATGATTCAGTCTTATATATGATCAATTGTTAAAGCGTACTTATATATTGTAATGAATTTGTCTTTCATTGACTCTCGTCCTTATAAGGACATAATTGTGATTCTTTCTCTTTTTACTGTCTGTCATCAATGAATTCTTACATTATGAAGTCACTTAATTTAGCCTCTCAAAAATTAGTCATGCACTGTTGCACTTGATATTGTACAGAACTTATTCAGATTACATTTTATTTAACTGTACAGTACAAAATACAACCTTGTGCCAAATAAAACTAATTTAATGATTTCCAAATTATTACAATGAATTAGCGTTAAACGCCTTGCACCTTCTTTATTTCAGTTATAATTTACTGCATGCATTCCACTACATTTCCCGTTTTCGATTGTCAGTTTGCAAAGGCATGATGTGTGTGACATGCTTTTAATTCCTTTAAAAATGCCTTTTAAAATCATGCCTTCAGTTTTAGACTAACTTAATGTATTTTGTGTGTCTGTGTGGTGTGTAGCATGCAAGTTTTGCCTCATCAACTATTTGTAACAATTTAAATTGATTATTTGCACTCATACCTTATTTTTCCCATTCCATAAAAGTGGACAAATCAAAAAGAAACTGTGATCAGGGGGCTTTAGTCCCCTCTATTGCTGGGGAACTTACGTCCAACTTTGTGCCAAAATCACCTCTCTTTAAAGGTGTGGAGATGAGCCTTTGAAAGGGTTGGAGCTCCATGTGAAATATTTATATGTAGATTGTAAATGTCATGTGTACAATAATGTCGATAGAAAATATATTGAT